TCAATACACCAATTAATGTTCTGCAGTTCCTTCGGCTAGACGATATAACATCCTTGGTGTATTTCGCCACCTTTCCTTTGCACTCCTTATCATCTGCTCGTCAAGAAATTTATGTATTTGTTTCAGAAGTCTGAGTACTTCGCTCCTTTATTCCTCTGAAAATTTTGCGCCATTTTTAGCAATAGCATCAACTGTCTCACAATAAATAATATTAATAAATGAAAAAACTTAATTGCAATTTGAAAATTTATTTTAATGTTTGCAAATATTTAGTTTGGTTCAACACAATAAATAATTAAAGAGAAGATTTGCTATTTATTTTATGAAAAAATCCGCACGTTTTTGATTCTATTAGAATATTCCGAATTCTTTAATCCCTCTATTTGTATGCTGTGTTTTTCTCATTCATGTTTCAATAAAATATTTAAATGAAATTATAAGTAATTCTCATCTAAGTCTTATCAGTTGTAACAATTTTCAGTTAAATTATATTCGCCTGAGTGCGAAAGGACTTTTCATTTATTTTGTGAATAGGTAAGAAACTTAAATGATTCACTGAATCGCATTAATTTTAATTAAAAGTGCTTTTATGAAGACTTAGAGCAACAGTACTACAAACAGAATAAGTGAGTTTGTGTGTACCTCAAATAGGATGCAGATTGAGTTACTTGGTATAAAGTCAAAGGAAATTTCTGAAACTTTAATTTACTAAATGAATTTTAATTCATGTTCACATAGTTTCTATAATCTTTTAATTGGTTTTTTAAAAATACTAATTATTTAATTAATTATTTCATGAGTAATATCTTTAATATTTAAATTTTTAATTTCATTTAATTTACTTAATTTTTTTTTTAATTATTTAAATATGAACAGCTTCAATCAAAAAGGAATATCGATAAAAGCGAGCTTTACAAACTTAGTTCTAATAATAATTCTTTTCTTTATTTTAGTGCTAAGATCTCACTCTAATATAGATACGATATGCAAACAATTTTATTCCAAACTAGCTAAGTACTTTACACCTGTTATAGAAAACAACTTTATTTGCAGAATAATATTTTTATTTATTTATTTTATTTTTTTCTCTTTCTTATATTTGAATTATTTTCTATTATTTTTTCATTTAATCTTCATATAATTTTTTTTTATATTTTCCTTTTTTTATTTTATTTTCTTTTTTATATTACATCTTTTTTTAATTTTGATTTAGAAATGGTTCAATTTGCTTATAATTTTGAAATGTTGAATGTCTTATACTTCAGATAAACTATGTACTCCAGATCCATAATACACATTTCTACCATCATTCAGTCTCATGAGATCTCAAGCTTAAATCGTTCTTCATACAGATAAAGAAGTCTTAATACAGCTATTCCAATGAAATAGCTGTATTAGCGTCACTCGGAGTTAGTTATATATATTATACATAGTTATGTATTATACAGATAATCATATGATAATCACTTTAGTATTACACTCTTTTCCGATATGGCAATGAAGGCATGTTATGCACGCAGCCAAAACTCAACTGTCAATTTTATATTTTTACTAATGTTGTTGTTGTTGTTGTTGTTGTTGTGGTTTGATTTAATGCTATTACGCACTTTTACTCTTTTGTGGTTGGGGGGCTTATTCCTGTCCCACACTAAGCTTTAACTATACTAGAATTATTATCATTTATTTATCTTTTAACTGATGACGGACCGTAGATCAGCATAACTTCCTCTGCGTCCAGAGGTAGACTTAAGCTTTGTTTGGTTTGTTATTGCGATATATCTTTTTATTTGTAAAAAACCTCTTCCAAAATCTCAAACAAAATTTTTGGATGCTGACAGTTTAAACCAGCTAATTTCTTTTTCCGACGTTAGAGACAATTATCTCATAAATTGTGCAAATGGCAGACAAATTTTTAGTAATGTTTGTCAGTATCTGCCTCTAAAGACCTCAATCTCCAAACAATTAGATTTCAATGAGGCCAAATAATTAGAGCAGTCAATTTATCTGTCACTGCTCAGGATTTGGCTGCCAGGAGCACAAGTTTTTATAGAAGTATTTTTTTGACAGTTTGTCGGACTGTTAAGTCATCTAACCTCAACTGACTAGATGTAGTTTTATGTTCTTATATTTCTTCCCAAGAAAACATAGTTATAATATATGTACATATATAAATGCATAGTTCCTTATATATATCTGTAAAATGTCTTAATTCATTAACATAGTTTACGCTAAATAATCAGATGAATATAATAACTTAAATAGACCTGATTTCTTTATAATATATTTGCTTTCAATTTTTTTTTTGTAAAAAAAAAATTTTTTAATTTGTAAAGAACCTTTAATTCCGTCCAACAAATTTCAAATCCATTCAAATATGCCATAGAATACAGAATTAAAATCTTGTAGAATATGCGACATATTAATATATTTAATTTATATTTTATTATTATATATTTACTTCTTTATATGAAATTTTGTCGATGGTTTTGATTAGTATTGAAACACAATGTTATAATTCTTACTTAGTTTAAGTAAATAGTTTTATAAATATCCCCTTCAAATACATTGGTCAATATAGTTGCATTTTAATAAATTTGTCTTTACTTTGCACAATATCATTCTCCAGTGAATAGTGATGGAAAAAATAATATGTTTTGTTATTATTTGTTGAAATAAGAAGGCTTTTTTTTTGTTTTTATCATGTTTATAAAATATATTTAAATTACAAATACAAACTAGATGATTTGGTAATAAAACTTTTAAAAAATTTTTTTAAATAAAAGTTTTATTATACCTGTATTTTTGCGTCCTTTTTGTTGTTCCTCTTGAGCGGAATGTTTCTACATATGTAGGAATGGTTGTATATAATGTAATTTTTATTCAAAAAAGAATTATAAATAATTTTATTTAATTTGTAATTAATAAAAATTTCCATTTCTATGAAATTGCCTAACAAAAACTTTTAAATAATTGTAATAATAATGAACTTTTTAATAGCAATATTTACTTTTACTAAACATATTTATAGGTCAATATTTATGTAAAATATATAGTCATTGTAAAGATAATATTACTTAAATCTATAATACATTTCATTAAGCTTTATAAAACTTTGGTTTTTTTCCTTGTCCTTAAACACTTCATTTGTAAATGCTGTGCGAACTTCGTCCTGGTCATCCTTGTAGTACACATAATAAACTCTCGTAAATTTGTAATTACTCTGTTCTAAACTACAATTAATTACTGTATTACTACCTATTGACTAAAAGAAAAAAATTCTTTAAACTAAAAAGACAACAAAATCTAAAATTTTATATAAGAAGTACTAAGTAGCGAAACCCGGGAGCATAAAACAGTACAAAGTTTTGATAAACTTGTGAACAAGTACTAAGAACTTTTGGTAAATAGTTTTTCTTAACTTTTTCCAAGCTTCACTCGACAAAAACTCTATTTTTCTTGTTTATAAAATTTCTCTTTTCCCTTCTTGTTTTGTCATAAAAATGTACTTGGGTGTTCAGGAA